GGCAAGCCAATGCAGAGCATGTCATGGCTAGGGGTGTATTTGATTTGATTGATAGCCAGACTCAGGTCAAGAATGACGTCGCCGCTTAGCGGATCAAGGCTGAGTCGAATCGATGCGCAAATTCCCAATAACGAACCAAAAGCGGATCGATTCTTATCCTGTGATACAGCATTAAATGGAATCAAATTCGAAACCAAAGATATTTTCAAAACATGCTCAAAAGCAGCCGTTTACATATATATATATATATATATATATATATATATATATATATATCATATTTTGGACTTACCTTTAAAGCAACAGGCCAACATGCAAGGAGAAAAATTGCATGCCATTTCAAACTTGGTGGATGGAGCCCAATGAATCCAGGACCACCGCGTTCTTACGACAGAGAAAGATAAACAGACGGACAGAGAGACAGGCAGACAGACAGACAGACAGACAAACAGACAGACAGAGGGACAGATAGACAGGCAGATGGCTGCGGGCGAGGTCGCGACGGACAGTGCACTTGCCATTTTTTTTTTGCACTTGCTAAGACACTTTTGCCAAATAAGGCAGTGCGGGAGGCTGAGCTGCAAGCACTGACGAAATCTACTTCCAAAATGCGCCAAAAAGCAGGGTTTTCTCTAATTTAGCTCACGATCGTTGCAAAATTTGGGGGTGGCTTCCAAACAGAGCAGGAAACTATACGACTGCCGCGAGTGACATAGGTCTTAGCATCGAGTTGCCAGGGATGATAAACAGGCAGGGTCAAAAATAACGCACCAGCATCGAGACAGACAGAGGGACAGCGCTAAGCCACAGGACAGAGACGTCGCCGTCGAGCAAGACACGCTGGTAATGGCTTACGCACCGCACAACCGAGACAAACGCGGCTCGTTTGCTAGGTCAAGCATGCACGCAACGTAAGTAAAGGCGTGGAAGCTAGCCCATTAGCACATGTGCCCACCTTTCTTCACTGGCCGCTCCGCGTAGGCCTCTACTCTGTGGGACGAGCGGCGGCCGTCAGCCACTAGCCGGCCTTCGTGGTGCCCTGGCGGGATCCCCGTTAGAGTGTGCGCACACGATCCAAAAGAGATGAGCCATGAAGATGCCACTAATGAGCCACTGAGGACGCACAGGGGACATGATTTCGGTGTTCAAAAAATGCCGTAAATAGAAAAGGCCCCGAGGAAAAGTTAAACACCGGAAAAATCCAGGAAGAATGCAGATATCAACGAAAAGTTGCCGTCCCACCGAAAGGGACTCACTGGTCCACTTAACCAATGTATGTTGTCTTCTCAATAAAATGTTGCCACGCTTGGTCCTTGCTTGCCCTGCTGACTTCATTTTCTTTGGCTCATGACGCTCTTGTTTCGCTTAGATGAGCGTTTAATTGCTTTTTCATTCCTGTAACCCATAATTTTTCATCCCAGGTGACGATGATGCCTCTAGACGCTTTCCTTCCCGAGAAATGAAGACGCGATAATCTGTGCTGAGTCCTTTTTTCTCAAACCTCGCCCACGTCACAGCATGCCACTTCTCGAGGCGAAAGATGTCGCTTACACACTAATCATATTCATCAACGTCAGTGTTTTCGCCCAGAGCACGTGAGCGTCGAGCAACGAGCGGGACCGGCCGTCAGCAGAGCTGAATAAAATGAGCAACCCAGCTCCATGTGAGTGAAAAACAATGCATGCAATCTTACCCACCCACCTTCGAGAAGATCTGTGAGGCAAAAAGAAGAAAAAGAAAAAGAACAGCACAAAAAACAACAAAAACATTCCAATCAGGCTGACGGTGTCGGAACCGACTCGCATGCCTGGTCAATGCATTTCCCGACACAGTTCCACATAGCCAAGCGCTGCAACAGCCGGCATGTGCTGCCGCAGCTAATTACGGCTGACGTCATCACTGCATGGCGTTGTCAGCGCCGGCGTCAAACCGCGCTGTCCAGTGCGCAGCTGGTCACCATCGGCAGCAGACCTGGAAGCTTTGGAATTTGTCTCACAGCGGAGCGCGCCGGCCGGCTGCGGACATTGGCCAGGTGCAGGAGCAGCTGGAGCGGAGCACCGGCCGGCTGAGGACATTGGGCAAGTGGAGGAGCAGCTGAAGCGGAGCGCCGCCCGGCTGAGGACATTGGGCAGGTGGAGGAGCAGCTGAAGCGGAGCGCCGCCCGGCTGAGGACATTGGGCAGGTGGAGGAGCAGCTGAAGCGGAGCGCCGCCAGGCTGAGGACATTGGGCAGGTGGAGGAGCAGCTGGAGCAGAGCGCCGCCCGGCTGAGGACATTGGGCAGGTGGAGGAGCAGCTGAAGCGGAGCGCCGCCCGGCTGAGGACATTGGGCAGGTGGAGGAGCAGCTGAAGCGGAGCGCCGCCAGGCTGAGGACATTGGGCAGGTGGAGGAGCAGCTGGAGCAGAGCGCCGGCCGGCCGCGGACGTTGGTCAGGTGCAGGAGCAGCTGGAGCGGAGCGCCGCCCGGCTGAGGACATTGGGCAGGTGGAGGAGCGGCTGGAGCGGAGCGCCGGCCGGCCGCGGACATTGGCCAGGTGGAGGAGCAGCTGGAGCGGAGCGCCGCCCGGCTGAGGACATTGGGCAGGTGGAGGAGCAGCTGGAGCAGAGCGCCGGCCGGCCGCGGATGTTGGTCAGGTGGAGGAGCAGCTGGAGCAGAACGCCGGCCGGCTGAGGACATTGGGCAGGTGGAGGAGCAGCTGGAGCGGAGCGCCGGCCGGCCGCGGACATTGGCCAGGTGGAGGAGCAGCTGGAGCGGAGCGCCGCCCGGCTGAGGACATTGGCCAGGTGGAGGAGCAGCTGGAGCAGAGCGCCGGCCGGCCGCGGACATTGGTCAGGTGGAGGACCAGCTGGAGCAGAACGCCGGCCGGCCGCGGACATTGACCAGGTGGAGGAGCAGCTGGAGCGGAGCGCCGGCCGGCCGCGGACATTGGCCAGGTGCAGGAGCAGCGGGAGAAAAGAGCCGGCCGGCTGCGCTACTGGCGCTGCGGTTTGTGCTGATAGGACTTTCACTGCAGGAATTGGTGAACAGGACCTGCAAATATCAAAACGATGGTAAGCACGCAGCGATGCCCTGAGCCTGCCGCTGTTTGTTTAAATTAAGACCGGCAAACAAGGATCTGTCCGAAATGCTCAGGATGAGTGCATGGGCTCCACAACACTGAGGACGGGTGTGGCAAGGTGACACGCCCTTCCAACTTCTGCAAAATCCAACATTGCGGTTCTAGCGCCGCACGGAAAGATGTTTTACAAAAGCTATATGTTTCATCATCCAGCCTTTTTCCCGTGACACAGATAATGTCGAGCTGCAGCGTTATAGTGTTCACCCGACGGAAGTTATTCTAACAATAGGCCTCGTCCTCTCGTCTTTAACATGAGCGGCGGGCGGCAGCATTGTGTAGGAATGCTGATTGACGGAATTGTGAACCGGGCTTGCGCCGTCTTCAACTGGCAAATTGAGATGCACCATATGCACCCAAAGTTTGCGGTGATGGAGATAAGCCCGACGAAATACCAGGCGGCGGGAAATCACCAGTAAGCAGCGTCGCTTGCCGGAGACGCCTGCCAGGTGTGAGGACTAAGGGCTTGTCAGCCGAAGATCTGGCCGGACCAAACTGAAGCTGCGGACGTGGGGGAGTGGGGATGCTGCTTCGGGGTGCCAAACCCCCAAACAGTGGGACCACCGTTTCCTCTGGAAGAATTTGGACATGTCAGGTACCAAAGGATCATGACTTTCCAACCCGGCGGCGTTCCTACACCTTACGGTAAGCATCATTGTTTTGCAAAACATCGGGCATTGACGGACGTCTTGAACGATTTCCATGGCACTGGGGGACTGGATCCATGCCATGATCATGCACTGGTTCCGGAGGCAGTTCTCTGACGTCTCTGTTCATCATGTTTGAGCGTTACGATGTTCGCGGGACTAGTTGTGTGAAGATGTACTTATACCAAAGTTACCGTAGTAAAATTTTGAAAGGATTGTTCCACAGTTGCATGGGCTTTTAAACTAAAATAGCCACCTTGAAGATCATTTGGCGCACACCATAACACTACTCTTCTTAAGGCCTAAACTGTCTAGCTTCTAAGCTACACGCTCGCCAATTTGAACAGACTTTTTCGTGCATGCTGTTTCAAGGTCACTCAGAGGCGCGCATGACGTCATAGAAACATTAAACTACTGCCATCCCAGTAGCCATGCGGCGTTCGAGGCCAAGGAGAATATGATTGTCGAGTCGTCTTTCGCGGCTGGCGTTCGTGGACACAGTATCGAAATATAACGGCCTCAAATAGCTCTCGATTAATGCTGTGCAGGAAGTGCAAGATCAAGACACGAATCACGTTTTGTGCTGCACAATGCAAGAAGCTGGTCATGTTTACCAGATAATAAGGGCATAAGACTTGCAATCGAATAACTTGAGAACAACGCATAACTCATTAAGGGAAATTAAGTGAACGACTTAAGCTCAAGGGCAGATATGCAAGAACGCCACGAGAGGGGACCAAAACATAGGTCCATAACGATATTTGCTCCAGCCAACAGTCCAGCACCGCCACTGTCAGCTCTAGATAAGTTGAGGTACTACAAGCGAATGCTAGAGTGGCAATTTTGCACGGTCGGTTGGCAGCACATCAAACATCATAAATCGCTTCATGACGCAATTAAAGAATTACGTATTGAGAAGCGTATTGACTAAAAAGGGAAATTTTGTTGTCTGAAGCGGTCTTTTCATTTCAAAGTATACCAATAGTTATGGGTGAGCTTATTCCATCGTGTCTGAAGTTTGCTTCAATATATTCCAATGTAGAACACTTCCTTAAGCACAGAGTAAGGGCTGGTAAAAATGTCTAGTTTCCATGGAATTCACCTGATAATTGCCGATTCCAGCGCAATCTATGGTCGCGCATGTACAACACATGTGGTTCTTCTACGTCGATCTGACTAAGGCTATTTGTGCTCAGCTGAAAGATGGTTCACCTTATCCCGGGAAAACCATTTTCTTGCGCTACGTGGTCTTGCAAAAAAGGCCGATTTACAAATCCCCCGATTTAATAGCTACGTTTATTCGTAAAAAGCAATCGGCAAGTGCTTGACGTGAGCAGAAGTCGGATACAAACTGCTGGGACACACGAGACGGTCGGCTACGGAAGTTATTTTGAAGGTCTTCGTCCCTTTGTCGTCATCTTTATAACGAATTCTTGGGACATATTCTTCATTTCGGTTCTCATGCCATCCATGTCGTCCACCTTGCCCACTGAAACAAAGCATAGTTTTGTCACTGGAATGACGGATTTCATGTCATGCTGTTTGACAAATAGACGCACCATTTGGGATCAATGGATCACAATGGATTGTTTGCTTATCTTCGGTTTCAGTCTGTTGATAAAACCTTGGTCAGAAATCTAACTTGGTTGCAGGCAGGGCTGTCGATTTGCATTCTTTGTGAGGGTCATCCAAAGTTGAGTTGGGCCCCCTAATGCTTTTGGGTGGAATGCTGCAAAAGCGTAGGTAAAAGTTGACCATCACATCGAGACCGTCTACTTTGCACTTTCTGTGCAGTGGCGCTAGTATGCAGAGGGATAACTTGACCTCCACCACAGAATTATTTCCTCACATGATCGTCAAGTCTAGTTTGAGAGCAAAAATGGTAGGTGGTTTTACTTAGTCGGAAGGTTTGGCTCGCATTCCTGGTTGACGGATCTGTTAATGTAATCGGATTTTTGCCTCCTAATGAAACAACATGTTCCTTGTATATAGCTCTGCGTCACCAACAAAAGAACCTTCCCTACCATTCGTAATAAAAAGTCGTGGCTGCTCGCAACACCAGATGGAAATTGTAACTACTGAACGGATAAACGATGCATTAAACTTTACACCCCTATAATCATAAGATACACAAAGGTTTGTAAGATTAAAGTGAAAAACTCTGGACTACGGGGATGACTAAGTCCTTCATAGCTAACCCTATCCACGACCCCCACAACCAAAATACGTGCCACGTCCCGTGGTTGCCATAGAAGTGCGCCTTCGGCGCCCAAAGGCGGCCTCTGACGGGCGCCTTCACTTGCCCATCGGAAGTGGCACGTGCGTCTAGTGCCTGCTCCCTTAATTCTTCGCTACATGACTACCATGCTGCTTAAATGAGATATTTCTTTCTATAAATAAAACAAAAATCATAAACATATTGTCTGTTATCAAAATGGGGTGGGCTGAGTCCAGTGAAAAAATAGGGAGGGGAATGTTACCGGGCCTTCAGTTTGGCCTCTCCCATAATTTACCAAAGTTGACACCCCTGGTTGCAGTTTTGTGAAATGAGCAGACAGAGACGTCCGTTACTTTAGCATTCACGCGCTTGTGAGGACTTTTGTTAACCGACTAATATTCCGTGATTACGGCTCTACGATACGATAATTGTGATATATCATGCAGAGCATTATGTATGGAATAATTGTTCGGTCTACCGCCCTGGTATGGCGTATGCGAACTAATGCACACATTCTGGTTAGTGTGCACATGCTAACGCGCAGATCGAGGACGATAGTCAGAACGTCTATTACATCAGAAATTGTTTGTTAAGTGTTGCATCCACCAGCAAACCCAATCCTAGGCAGCGTGCTCCGTTGAATATCACTTAAGTACTTAAGCACTTAACACACGCCCGGGTGGCCGGCTAGATACCCTGCGCTCGGGTGGGGGGTGGGGGTAGGCGGTCAATTTGACCCCTCCTGAGATCTCGGGAACTAAGAAAGCTATAGATACCAAATTTACAGGGTGTGTCGACCTGTACGTGAACTCACTTAGCTTAAAGTTTCAGATTCCTAGGCCATGACCTTTGGGTCAAAAAAGGTCAAACAAGGTCAAGTCCTAGGTTGGTCTTTTAAGTGCCCCCAGAACGTAGATAGCTGTTTCTAAGCAAAAGCTCACATTCTCATTTAAGGTCAGTGACCTTTTTGACCTTTTGAAGGTCAAGGTGATCAAAATGATACAACATTGCTTTGAGTTTCGCATTTGACTAAGCGACAAAGATTACGCTAGGCAGTATGTTCCTAAAACAAAATGTTGACCTGGGTAATTTTAGGTCAATGATTTATTCTGACCTCTAAGAAGTCCATGGAGGATGTATAAGACGATTCCTGCTATGAATAAACTCGAAATGAGCACCAGAAACTATCCCATACAATAAGTCCTAGAGTTATACAAAATATTGGCTTTGACCTTGGTGTGACCTTCATACCTGACCTTACGTAAAATTGATTTGCTCATTCAACTGTTATGTTGCCTAAGAAAGCATCTCAGAGATGTATGGCTTCGTCTAACACCCCGTTGTTGGATCAGGTTGAAGGATTCCCTAGAAATTGCCTTCGCCGAAGCCATGGCCTGACTTTGACCTGCCATAGGTCAGCGACCTTACAAAGTACATCTAAATTGTTGATGCTAAACGATCGGCGATTCAATTTTCTACAGCTATGCAAAATTTGGCGCGGCTACGCCGCGCCGTTAGGAAACCATTCTGAAAAAACCTTCGGGTGGAGGTCAATCTGATCCCCCACCACAGCGCGTGTTAAGTCTCACCCTGTTCTTCGTATGTTACCGCATCTGCTTTATCAGCGGTAAAGCTGTTGCAGATGTGTTGGTAGATGCTGTGGCAGTGATACGTAGATTTGTAGATGTATATATTTTGGAACTAGTCGTCGCTTTATTCTTAAGAAATGTCATTGTCACCCTATCCCTGCGACAGCGACAGGGGCTGCATGCAACGCCCCTAAGGCTTGACCGGGACATATTTTGGGCATGGTAGTGAAATTAGGCCAGCTGATTTTACACAGGTTTAACGCATGTTGAAAAACACATGTCTTGGCACATGTTTAACTCATGTTGTAAACATGTGAAGTCTCCGACTTTGATGCTCATGACGCCCATACTATATCATCTCTTAATTAAGGTCCCGTTGGTGATAATTTCACAGGAATCACAGTAATCACAGTGATCACCACATCATCATTTGCTCATGAGTGAAGAATGACATCAATTTCTCGCATGAAAATGAGCCCCAAAGACAATGCCCATCGCTCGGGCGGGGGTCGATTTGACCATCCTGAGATCTCAGGAGCGAAGAGAGCTAAAGACACCACATTCAGATAGTGTGTTGACCTGTACTTAAACGCACTGTGGTAAAATTGTGAGGTTGCTAGGTCATGACCTTCGAGCCAACTAAGGTCAAACGAAGTCAAACTGTACGTTGGTCTTCAAATTGCTACCAGACCCAAGATAACTGTTCCGAGCAAGAGGCCACACACTCATTTCAGGTCAGCAACCATTATCGGCGCGGGTACACGATAACGATCAGCATTCATCAGGGAAGCCCAGCAAATGAAAAAATTCGATTGGCGCATCGTGAGGAATTACCGCCACCAAATTGCCCGCGGCCAGTAATTGACCGAAATCGCCCAGGCCGAATGACCCGTATTATGTACCACACTAAGTGGCATGGTCGCAACGCTAATGACCTCATTGCGCACCTACCGGTGCAATGCTCCGGGGCTGAGGCCCCGGCACCAGTCGCCATTTTGGCTGCCTGTGAGAGGGCGAATGGCGGGTCCGTCGCTGCACACCCACGCCGTATCCTACATACTTGGCGCTCGGGAACAGCGGACTGTCAGCGCATTTCAATGCTACCGATCGACTCCTTTTGTCACGCCGACATTAGACGATACAGTGCTACTGCGCACATCAAGCGACTACGCTCAAGTCCGCTCCAACATCGCGGCCGATGTGAACGGTGACGTGACGACGGGGCAGTCCAACATCAGGCGTCCAATCGCCGTGGCGGCCGCGTTCAAGCCGCATCCGATCACACTGCCGGAGCTGAGCCGCGCATCAGAGCTACGAACGCGTCGGATGGGGGCGGCATCGACGGTGTCCCTCTGAGCGTGGTGAAACGCTGTTTGGCTGTTGGCTCACCCCACGTGCTGCGACTCGTTAACACGTGCATCGCGACATGTGTGTTCCTGGAGTAGTTGAAAGTGGCTACTGTTTTGTCGATTTTAAAATCTGGGGATGCGAGCATTGCGTCTAATTTTTGCCCGATGCCTTACTGTTAGCGAACAAACGGGCCGTCGCTGCCGGCGCGACGGCGGCGTATCCGCGATGGTGTGAGCGGCGCCTCTGCCGATTGGTCCCCACCATCTGGAGCCCAGATGTGGGCCACGTGGGTTTATGGGGACACGCGGGCCGGGACACACGGTCGCTGCCGAGCGGTCCACGTTCAGGCTCCGACGGCGCGGTTCGACGCGAGCCCAGTCCACGTTCAGACTTCGCCGGCGCGGCTCGGTGCGAGCCGCGTTCGTGTTAACGACGACGACGACAACGACTTCGGAGTGTGCGACGCCGCCCTTTCAACCCCTCTCTCACCTTTGCCTTGCAACTCCTTGGCTAATAGAGACTCTTCCCTTTCAACGTCTGTTTTCGAATCAAGTCGATGGTCCTCCGGAAAACTAACGAACTCTTTCGCGCGAGCACTTACTTTCCCACTTGTTCAGTCACTAACCAGTTATCTTGCCACATCACCGATAACAATACCCTGTTCGGCCAACAGTATGTCATTTAGTCCGCGGTCTGCCATTCCGCGGAGGACACGGTGCGCGACGCTGTCGACTGGGTATCGCACAATTTAGACAGTGGTGACATATCATCGATCGCAGCAACTGACCTGAGCAAAACCTTCGACAGCGTCGGCCGCGGCGTCCTCCTCAACGAGCCGGTATGGTATGAAATCAATCCCCGTGGTTCAAGAGCTACCTCGCCGGACGGAGTAAGACGATCAGAGGTGGGGGTGCGACTCTCCTGCCGTCACACATGGCGTACCACAAGGATCAATACCCGGACCAATCCTGTTCAGTCTTATGACCAACGACTTGCCGTGCTACCTGTCCAACTGTCGAGTCATTGCGTACCACAGGGATCGATACCCGGACTAATCCTGTTCAGTCTTATGACCAACAACTTGCCGTGCTACCTGTCCAACTGTCGAGTCATTGTGTATGCTTACAGCATACCCAGCTGCTGGACCGAGCGAAGGTATGTAACACAAATCTTACTGCTCTTCAGACTCGAATGGGGCATATTTTGGCAACCATGAAGAGCTGGTTTCACTCAAACTCCCTTCAAATGAAACTCAAAAGCTGACCTTATTCTTATTGTAAGTAGGCAGCATATGAAAAGGGCGAAAAGCTTTCACTTGGCGATCACCAATGC